TGCTCGTGTTCAGCTTCTTGTCCACCAACACCCCCAGGATCTTCTCTTCAGAAGTGATCACAATCCAGTCATTGCCCAGCCTGTATTTATGTTTGGGATTGCCCTCACCCAGGTTCAGAACCCTGCAGTTGAAGAATCTGATAAACATTTTCCCTCCTTTCTCAAAGTTAATGAACAGAATATTACCAGTAAGCCAACTGCTAAAATTCATTTTCCAATTCTAACATACATTATCTAAGTCCCTCTGAAATGCTGCACAAGCTGAATTTCTCAAAGCTTTGTTAGGCCTTGCCAATACCACTTTTAGTTCCACACGTTGCTAACAAGTCAGCCCCACTGTGTCTCCCAAAAGCACAGGTGAAGACTCACTTAAAGCATCTAGTGTATCATTCTGCAGCTTTCAAAACTTTGCCGGCAACACTAAGCTCTGCTTTTACTGATGATTTCAATTTAAAAAGGCTTGAGATTTCTTCTGTTTTCAAGCTGTTAGCTAGACTGCTGGCTACTATAGAAAGCAATCTAAAGCTCCACTGATGATCTAAATTTTAGCCTCAAGAAGTAGATTAAGGGAGATCACAGGTATGTGGGATTTAATTTGATATACTAGTTTCAAGTATTTGAAAGTAAACAAATTATTTGAAAAAAATGCTTTATTTTAACGTTTTAATTTGATTTTTATTTGAACTGAATTTTCATCTTAGAAATAAATACTGATTTAAAAAAAAAAAAAGAGGTAATGCCAGCAAAATGAAAAAAGTTCAACCTCATTTAAGTGAATTTTGATGAGGAAGAATTGAAACAAAGTCAAATGGGGTTTTTTACTGTGGCTTTCTCTTTCAGTTCAACATGAACTCTTCCCTTTTTACTTTAACAAACTGTTTACACAGCTAACACAAGATTCACAGAATTTAAGCAATAAAGCTCCTCTCCTCCTCACTGACAAATTACACTAGATACACAAATTCCACAGCAGTTCAACTCAAGATCTAAGTGCTCCCTTCCCTTCCCATTCTGCCGGTGCAACATCCTTAATGGCTCTAAATTTGGCAACCCAAAGTTGCTGTTATTGCCTTAATCATCACTGTCTTACTAAAAATAAAATAGAAATATTGTTACAGTTTTTCATCAAGGATCCTGGTGTTACCATTTGGAACCAGAGCAAATACCTGCACATCTCCCTCAAGTATCTGCAAAATTAATGTTATGTAACGCTGACAGTATAACAAAGTAAATTTATTGATTCAAGGCCCTTTTTTTTGTCCTTGCCAAAATGTCTGTAAACTAGCAAATACATCCACTCAACTGTGAAACAAACAAAAGTGTTTGCAAAACCAAGGCCTCAAGTTATTTTCCTCCCCCTCTCCACTGCCTGCCTAATCTATAGCACTTTCAGCTATTCTGTGACTAATGTGTCTTTCCTTTTCTGTATTGTTTCTAGAGTGACTATAATGTTAGACAGAATGTAAACAAAGCTTCCGATACTGTTAAAGTAACAGGAAAATTCAGTGCTAAAGGAAGAGGAGTACAAGACTGGAAACAAAAATTTACTAAATCGTTGAGTTTACACATGTTTGTATCTTTGCCACAGCACTGTGTAATCCCTTCCATAAACTGAAAAATCTGTTTCATTATTCACATTACTGAATTTGCTGTCAAATCATTTCAATGTCAACATAAGGGATCAGGTAGTCTAAATTATGCCTCAGATTCTGACATTGTAAATAGTCGGCTTCACTAAGGCTAACACTACAGTTTACTTCATGTAGCGTACAATTCAAGAGGTGTGTGTGATAGCATGACGAGGCCCTGAATCATTGTAATTACACTCTCAAATAACTTGCTTCCTTCTAAAAAGGTTACTCTTTTTATTGACAATTATGCAACAGACAGAAGCTTAAAAAAAAAAAAAAAAAAGAAAAATAAACTTCTTATATTGCCACTGGACCATTTCCCCAACTTTCAGTTACCTATCAGATAAATGCCTCTAAAATAGTCTCTGCATATTTTTGCTTTCTTTTCAGTAGAAGTATTTTAATTGGGCTGGTATGCACTGTAATACTGCCAGTTCTGCAGTCTCTGGCTCCAAGCAAAATGATGCATTTGGCACAAAGCAAGGTTGATTTAGTGTGTTGGCATTAATTACCCATTTTGATTAACAGTCTTTAAAGTGCTTCATGCTTTAGTGTTAAAAATTATGTGCATGTTTAATTCAGCAAGAGAGCAAGCTGATTTTGTAGAAATGTATCCAAATACATTTCTCATTACAAATATGAAAGAATTCACTGCAAGTATGAAAATATTTAAGAGGTGAGAGTACAGGGAAACAAGAAAATGTAATTGTATTCTGTCGCAAAAATATTAACATGTACTGCTGCATCTTATTAGCTTCAAGAAAATCCCTTTGGATTTTCTACAGTGTTTAAAGCTGTACAGCATGTTACTTTTAAAACCCATACTGAGGTTTGGAAAACTGTGTAAGTGAGAATTTCACATCAGCTTCTGTTCTAATACAACCATTAAAGCCAGCCCATGGATGCCTTAATTGGTCAGGTCAACTGCTGCACAGTTTATTACCCTGAAAGGCAAATTCATCTCTTGTATACTATGGACACCACAATGAGTTTTTTCTCCCCTATGTATTTCATACATAAACACTGCATGTTTCCAGTGCCTCACTGTACGAAAATGCATATTAATGTGGTTAAATAAAAATAATAATAATAAAAAGTTGCCTCAATAGCTCTAATCTCTCTTAATTGAACCACAAGAGTACCAGAAGAGAGTAATAGAGGTGGCAGCTCAGCATGTACCGTAGATCATTCACGGAGGTGCTGCAGAGGACATAGAGGACATCTTAATGACAGCTATTGTTTAGTTTTCCAGCAAGGATGACACTCTGAAAATACTGAAGTCAACAAAAATTTCCAGCAACACAACAGAAGTTGTGTTTGGCTTAAATACATTACAGCATTTGTTTAAATATCTCTTACCACTACAAGAGACCTCTGTAAACTACTCTTTTTAAAATATCACATGTAATTCATGCTATTACCGTTAATCATTACAATTAAGGTCAGAGTAATTTTATAAACATAATCTGTACTAGCTGTAAATTTTAATTATAGCTACTGTTCCTCAGTTGGGAGTAACTTAATTTTCAGAGCTACTACCCCAAATTACATGTCGTCTAATTTTTTTCTACTGAAAGTTAGTGATAGCGGAAACACCAGAGGAGGATAGAGTGTATTTCTATCACATGAATGAGTAGAATGCTTCACACTTGGAAGATTTAAATTAACACTTTTCTGGTGCTATATATTTCATTCCATGTATGAGTTCTGGCATCTTCATACGGCAGACAGCACAGTACATAATCTAGGCATAAAAAGGGTATTCCAATAGAACCTACCCTTTGGTCATGTCTTAGGTATATAATTAACTACAGTCACTAAGAAAACTGCCTGTTTTACTTGAAGGGTTGGCAATTCACACTACAGCCTACTGCATGCAAGTCTCTGCAAGCATATGAACTGGACAGAGTAAATATTCAATTGTTAGCTCCTCCTCTTCTCCACCAAAACATCTCACATCCACCAAAACCAGTACCTATCTTTACCTGTTTCTGTTGCCAGAGAAGGAACCCCCAAACATATTCAGGACTTGACAGCTGGTTATTCACATCCCATCTTTGGGATCTCTGTTTCTCCCTTCACGGACCTTTTATACCTCTGTTAACCTACTTAGACCTCTGGCGTCCATGTCAGAAAATGCAGAGTACTGCTCTAGCTCATAGGAACAGCAGGAACTGCAACGCCATCAGCCTGAGTTTATTTGAGGAAATGAGTGAGAATTGCAAGGCAGGGGTTAGAAAGATGCTAGATTTTAAGAGAGATATAATTGGGTTTGCTGTTAAAGCAAGTGTTGTAAGAATTTCTAGAATGATTTTACTATTACAGAAAACACATCTGAGGACTATACTGCCATTATGTAGAACAAGCCTGTTGCATTGTAGAAAAGGTATGGCATAACAGATTCCAGGCAACATGGTAAGTTGTTACTTTCTTCAGCCCTGATGTATATTAAACTAAAAAAAGTGTTCAAGTAATGTGAATTGCATTCTCTCAGTCATTCCCTCAGAGCAAGCATCTCCAGCTCCACATTCAGATTAGAGACAACGATCTTAATAAACCAATGCTTAAGACTCAGATGCTCAGCCATCAGAACCATACCCAGACAGGCATGGGGTAGCCATACAATACCGCCCACAAGAAGCATCAGATATGTCAGAATGATCATCCTGAGCTGCCCACGTGCTGACTTCAAAAGCTCAACAGGTGGATAAGAAATCCACAGAGTAGACAGGGAGAGAAAAAAAAAATTCTGAATAGGCAGATCGGTCAGTCTGAAGGGAGATATAATTTCAGCAGTATGAAGGGAAAGTTCCTTATGAGAACTTAGTCCAGTTACTCAGCTACACATCTTAAGCTGTGATCTACTTTTCAATATGTACTGCATTATTAGTATAACTTCATAAAAACACCTTCCAAAGTAGTTTAAAAGAATGTCATCCATACTTACTTTGGCAATATTTTTAACTGGTTTTCTCTAAGTTCCAATATCTGGAGTTTAGTTAATCTGTAAGACAGAAAGGCAGAGCAAATTATCACAATATAGTGCATTTTATGACAAAAGCAATCTCTGAACTTACTTATATTGCTGAACTTACAAGAAAAAATCTGCAAGTTTGAAAAATGTTTTCCTGTAAGAACATAAATATGTTTTGTTCAAAAATTTGCACGTTATTTTAAATTAATTTATTCACTGGGATTTGGTTTTAGTAAAGCACTAAACAAATTAGATCTTGCCTCTGCACCTGTTTGAATACATTTGTTTTCTTTCATCCCAAAGATTTTAAAGCACTTCACTGATTCATTATGGGTACATGTTATCATCACATAGAGAAGTACACCAGAATTAACAGAAGAAAGGTAAGATCAGTCTGCACAAGTCAAGACGCTAAATTTCTAACACCACCAATGTAGTATCAAAACATTTCATATAACAAGCCTCATCAGAGGAATACATGCTGTCTTCCACATGGTAAATATAACCTTTACATTCATCTTGGATTTCCTTCCCTATCCTCTTTCTAGTCCATTTTTTTTTTTAATCCAATCCATTTTGATATTTTTGTTAGAAGGCAGTTTGACCTTTCTTGCAGTAAATCCTTGGTTCCAAGCTAAATAACCTCTAAATCCCAAATTCAACTGCTTGGCCAAGATAAGTTCAAAGCAGTCTTGACATTCAAGCAGTGTACCATTCCCAGTGGATTTTTTCGCACCAAGAGAGCAGTGACAAGATGATCTCTTTTTTTAAATGAAATGCAGAAACTGAGTTTGCTTTATATACAGGCAGGATTGTAAAGACAAGGGTTCTACATGTGACCCACTAACAGCCCTCATACAACACAAAACAGAGCATTAAGCTTCCTGATTCAAAAAGGAGCTTAGTGAATAGACCAGTCTTTCATGAAGGTGCTTAACCGAGTACACTGTAAGGACAGAGACAAAAACCTTAATTTTTATTAACTAGTAAGAACTATACTTAAAGTAAAAATAGAAAGCAGAAAATAATGTTTATTTTTCCTCTAGATATCATCTCATTTTTGGATGCATTTGAAAGTAGCAATCTGCCATGCCTACAAATAACCTAAGAATGTAAGTCACCTTGAAACAGAGCAGAGGTCAATACAGTCCAGTGCTGCAAGCAGTACTTGCCATCTGGTAGCAACTGCTGGAGGGGAACCTCCTCCCCCTCAGCTTCCCAAAGAAAAATCAACACCCTAACAGTGGTGAGAGAATACCCTAATAAAAATACAGTTCACAGTAATATCACTGCTGTCAATCTAGGACATAACTGGAAAGGATTTCCTAGCCTTCCTAGCCTACCTGCATCCTAAGATACCAATTTGTGACAAAACAGAACTTGTTTGTTTAAGCACCTTCAGATCTGAATGCTTGGTTTGGACTTGGAATTCTGAATCCAAGAACAACCAAATATTGCATTGTGCTCCAGGTGGTGTTCTGCTTTGATGACAAGTGAAATAGCTACACAGTTTGTAGTTTTTCTTCACAACACATGTATGCAGTCGGATTCCTCAGTTCAACGCAGTAAAAGCAAACCTCCATTCATATGCAAAAACATATATATGCACACCCACACTTCACTGACTTTAGCCAGAACTGATTGTACTACATTTCCAATAAGATAATTCCGTAAACTTAAAGACTGCCTTTAGTGATAGAAAGGTTCATAGCTTTGTGGCCTTGTTTCATGCTCTGCTCTTTCTTCAGCTAACCCTAAAAGTTGGAGATACAAATATCAAATTTCTTATATGTAGAGCTACACAGAGGCTACGAGGGAAACATTTTCAACCTATCCTGGTTAGGAGATACAGGATGTGTCTAAACTAGTAATTTTCTTTCTTCCATTATGACTAGAAGGGTTAATTCAAGTTTAATATAATAATACACATTAAATACTCAGCCCAGCTGCTAGCATAAACACCCATACTAAGTACCTAAACTCCTATAATGGAACTGAAAAACTGGATTTTAATTTGAAAAAGAAGTACAGACAGAACTAGTCCATCTATACTAAAGGAGAAACAGAAGGCATAGTGGCAGAATACATATTTTCTGTGCAATTCTATCAGGAAGATTTGTCATACTCATATGGAAATACTTAATTTCTCAACTTGAAAAACCCATAACCACATAAATATTTACACATCACCTAAACACAAAGGTGTAACAGTATTATTCGACTTTAAGTATACCTTGTCTAACAGTCTCAACAAAAATATTGTTGCAGTATTGTTATTTAATGTAATAAACTTAGTCTGCTTTAAAAATGTAGCTCAACTTTTAAATAAAACAAAATCTCTACATAAACACTTTGTCAGGATAAGATTAATATTTTTCCTAAACCTGACTTCTTTAACTATACAAACTGTAAAAAATGTAACAAAAATACACAGCAGGTTTACTTAGAAAATTGTTGTTCAACAGCAGTCATTCCTCAGAAAGCTAAAAATATTTTATAGAGAGATAATCTTTATTTTTCAGTCTTTGCAGCTTTGCTAATGCAGATTTTTTTTTCTTTTTTTTAAATTGTAACTAAAATATAAAGGCAAGAGGACTGAACTATGTGCATGCTATAGCAGGGTGCATTTGCAGAAGTTTCAGCAAACTTGCATATATGTAACAATTAAGTCCACAATTTGATTACCACTGTCCCTTTAAGTAAAAAAAAATTATCCAACATACTACTAAAAATACTACTGCAAAATGTTGAGAAAGAAGATTACAAGTAAATTCATTGCAACATCACAGTAAAAGAATCTTTGGAAGCAATACTCCATTATAGACATGATTCTCAAGAGTTTTTAGAATGACACTGAAGATAAACTCCTTGCTTATCTTTGACATCCATCAGTAAGTAACGTTTCCCTTTTAAAGCCCTGTCTCAAAATTCAAATGCAGTGAGCTTCAAGTTTAGAATGCTCAAATATATTTAAACATATTTGTATATTTAAATGTAAATACACGTGATGCATTAAGACACAACAAATATGGTTTTCTTAGGTAACCATAAGCAGTTCCTAGATTTCTGTGCACTGGTTTAAAGGCTGACTCTGAGATTTGTACCAATATAAAAGCAGTCAAATTAGAATTTTGGAGTGGAGGAAAAAAAAAAAAAAAAAAAAGAAAAAAAAAGTACTAGCATCTCAGAATTCCAAAGGAACTGGCATATTTAACCAAAAGTTTGTTGATCTTTAAAAAGTCTTAACAGTCTGGACTCTGGACTGTTATAACATCACTAAAGGCCAGCAAGCTCATAATGCTCAAAAAGAAGGGCAAAAAAGATTGGATAATCTTGACCTCAATAGCATGCAAAACTTTAGCACAAATTTTGAAGGTGAAAATAAAGCAGGGAGGTAAATGTAATAAAAAGCTGCACAGATATACTAAAAGTAGTTTGCACTACACAACGCTTTCTTTCCAAAGCATGAGGCTGAATATTACTGACAGAGGTGCTCAAAGACCCATTTGTGACTATCCTGTTGAATATTTTTTAACGGCAATCCTAAAGGATAGAAAGAATGATAAAGTTGGCTGATGCCACAGAAGTTAGTCACAGA